TGACCTGTATTAGCCCTGGGAGCCAGGAAGGAAAATTAGACAGCTCCGTTTTTACGCCAGGTTCCACTTGGTCTACATCACATACTCAAGTTTGGCCCTTGGCTCTGAGAATGCAGCTACCCACCGAAAGCAGAATCCGGGCTTGGCTGCTCACTCTACCCCACTTCCTTTATCAGCTCCCTGCATCCATCTGACACTCTTGTTGACAAACTAAAACGCTAAATTTCTTCTCCAGGAATGGATCTCCCTAGCCACAGTGTTCCTTTTCCTGAGCATGGTCTGCCCCATACCGTAGTAAAGCTTTTTTATTTTCTATCCTCATGTGCATGCCATTTGACATGTTACACTGCACACTCTATTTCGGACTTTTTATCCGGAGAAGTAATTTCTATAGAGATGAATGACATAAAGCTGCTGTTTTCTTGCACATACAAAAGTACATTCGTACTTCGGGGAGGGGCTGTCTCATGGGCAGCAGTTAGGTGTAGCCAGGAAACTGCCTTTTATGGAGACTATCATTGAACTTGGTCTTTTCTTTTTTAGATGCTTGGCAACCCTGACTTATCAAAGGCCTAGCGAGTGAACACTGCTGAAGCCTCCGTGGGGCTCCGAACACTCAACACGCTAGGCAGTTTTAAAGGTTGCGGCTCGCCAGTTACAGCAGCTCACGGAGCCACACGGCTCCTGCTACCGAAATCGTTCTCTATAGAACTTTTTACTGAAGCCTTGAAATGCTGGCCAAACTAAACTATTAGACAATGATGAAGCATGAGCACTTTCACTATTTCTACCACAAATCGAGTGCTGCTAGCTGGAAGCATTTATCTGACGGTGCCACCAAGAGGGTGAGAGTCGGATCTTAAAGTTCTCTTCTCCCACCCTGTGGCCCAATTTGACCAGAAAAGTGACAGTTGGTACCGTAATAATTTGTTTCACGTCGTGACTGTGTAGAACGGCAGGTGATAAAAATGTTCCAAGCAGCTAGAGACCGGCATGATAGTGCCTGCAGGCTGTACGTACACGTGTACACACACACACACGAGCGCCTCACCTTCCACTGCAAGGTGAGGGAACTTTTGCTCCTGTAGGTCAGCTTCGGCGGAAAGGGACAGTCGGGCGCACAGCTGTGGGTGGTGAAGCTAACAGCTTCGGAGCAGGATCCCCTTACGGAGTTGTACATGGCGTAGACCCTGAAAAGAAAACCAGCTCATTTAGGGGCAGGGACTCGACACAGAAGGGTGTGATTTCGAGCGCGGCTTTGCCTCCAGGCTTTCCGTACGCCAGGAGAACTCCGGGTGTGGCGTGTCAAAGGGTTCAAGGGGAGCTGATGTCAAGGAGCGCAAGAAGGAAGAGCATGTTTTTTAACTGACTGTGGTAGCAACTGCACAACACTGCTTGATGTCAATGAACGATGCAACGGTACCGTGTCTGTAATAGCTCCCAATAAAGTGGTTTTGAAAGAAACGAAAGAAAAGAAAATACACCTTAATCCTCAGAATGGTCTCCAAATACACATTCTGAAATCTAGAAAGCGTACGTTGGGCAAATTAAATGACAAACCTAGCTGCTCCTGGTTTGGCTTTGTCTGGGGGTGAAAAGGCTCGAGGTCTAGAGTCAAGCGTTGGATGAAGAGGGACAGGAAGCAGGAACGAGAGTCTACACACTGGAGCAATACTACACACGCACACGGAGCAGAGAGCGTCTTTCAACTGTTTGTTACACGGCATGAATTTACACAGAAATATGGACGCAAGCAAGTTGGCTTCTGCCAAGCGCATTTCCCATTAAAGCGACAAGAAGTTTGTCCACGTGAACGCTTCACTATTGCACATGGCCATGTCGAGATTACAGGTGCGAGGTCTGCTCAATAGAATGCATGGCTCCATAGTACAC